TTGTATAATTTATATGATTATTAAGTTTATAATAAATGAATAAATTATATTATTCTGAGTGGCCAATGAGGTATCTAAGATACTTCCTATATGAATTAATGAGTAATATTAACCGAACTTTTTCTAAATTTTAGTTAATAATAATTCACAAATTTTTACACAACATAAATCATTAAATTCATATACAAAGTATCTCGTATACCTTAATGGGCACCCTCTGTATATTATATGTAAGTAATATGTTATATTTACCCTCCAGCCTTTAAAACATTTTATTAGATTTGTGCAGTCTCTTCCGTCTTTATTAATCGCTTTTAATTCACTAAATAATGTGAGAGAGTCCTTTAAGTGATTGATTTGGTAGTCTGCGCCAATAAATGGCCGTCTATATTTTTTATCATTATCATAATTTGAATTAAATAAATCAATTAATTTGTCCATTTTTTCTATGAATTCGGTTGTGCCATGCGCAGAGGTAGGGAGTTGTCCAAATCGAATATACACATTCATACCGATTGCCACTGCTTCACTAAGAAGCTGTGTAGCCAACTTCACCTTCATTTTAGTGAACGCAATTGGCTCCATATGTAAGTCAGATAGCTTTGGAGCTGCCCTAGTTTGGTATTTTTTATCAGAATCATAAAATTTTTGTGTCGTCCCATGACGCCGTTTTGTCGCGAAATTGAAAATTATACTTTAATAAATTATTCCTCACAGATTTTATTAGGTGAGGAGCAGCAAACATAAAGAATATTTATTTTTGGTTAACAAAAAAAAATGGAGTTTCTTCAGACACACCCAGCTGTTGTGACATTACCATGTTGTTGCTTCCCATGTCAGAAATTAAAGCAGTCACTGTAATTGTTATTTCATCAAGTTTTTTTATGCAGTTAATAAGAATGTCCTTTAATTTGTCGCCGGGATAATTGCTTTTACTCCAGAAATACATTAGCGGCTGCTTCCAATTGTCAGTTATCCCTCTTGTGTGTGTCCCTTTTGTCACCATCATCTTCAAAACCAATAATTTCATCCACGCCAATATCATAATACAGATGACCTTTAATTAATGATTTATATAATGAATTATTATTAATGAATTATATTACCTTTAATTGCCATTTCATCAACACATAGAATACAACGCCTTTGATCCTCCTTTAAGTTTTGTATTTTATATTGTAAGCAATCAAAAACTGCGGGATTTATGCCAGGTTTTATATTTATATGTTCTATTTGTTTCTGTAGTGTTCGGGGTGTTGGCAAACAAAATAATCGGCACAATAAATTTTTATAAAGTTTTGGTCCCATAAAATAATTTTTTAAACAGTGCCTTTTAAATTCGTCTGTATACCTTCGGCCCATTGACGCTGTTTGATTCAGTAATATTTGCGTATTAATGAAATCAGCCAATTGTTTCGATTTGCAAAATGTATGTGTTAATTGTTGGTATTCTAAAATTGATATGTCGGACAATATCTCTTGTTTTAATCTCTCGAGCTCTATATGCTGTTTGGTTATACATCTTTCCAGATGCTTATTTTCCATTCTTAGTCCTCTTATCTCGTTCCTTTGGAATTCTTTTCTGGGAGATCTTGATGATAATTTCAACTCTGTTTGAGATGATGCATCGGACAGCGATGACGTAAAATCACGATCAAACAATGTATCTTCGTCTGGACATTTAACAAACAAAGGTGAAGCGTGTGTGTTCGTTTCGACATTTGTTGATGTAGATAAAACAATATTTTCCAATATTCTAATCCTCTTTAGATTATTTTCTTCAGTTCCTTCAATTAAAGGAACAGTTTCCATATTTCTTTTAACTTCTAAAACAAAACATTTAAAACTAACTTTTAATTCAATCTCCTTTTTACAGTTACCATACCTTCAGGTTTTGCAAATACAAGTGGAAGGCCACTATATGAATGAAAAGATTTTGATGAGCCTTCTAAATTCATAAAAATTGTTGGGACAGCGTCCTGTTTCAATCTTTTCTTTTAAGTGAACGTTCACAAACATTCGGTCTTCGAAGTGGACTCCACACAACATAAAGGAATGTTCGCATAACCTCTTTATTTTAAGTAACAGGTCATCCCTATGGCTTTGTCCTTTACCGTTTACTCTTCAAAACATGCAAGACAAAAGATCATCATTTTACGCAAAACAATTTCAGTAACAGAAAAACAAAAGACCAGACACACAACATACATCAATATTGACACTTAGTTAAAATCGTAAAAGAACGAATAAAACTAAAATTGTAAATAAATCACAAATAGACTAGACACCCTTGAGGTTTTCACTAGAAAAAGACTAGGTAGCAACCTCATTAACCCTCCTTTCTTTCTATTTCAGGTCAACGCCAATAAAGGTCGCAGTATACAAGTCTTCACAGCCCGGTAAATAAAATGTATAAAACGCATTCCCTTAAAATATGACTAGAATAATTTGCTAGGGTTCGGGCACAAAGGCTCCATCATCCCCGAGCAACAGCACGGACATCACGGACACCCCGGTAAGTTTCGTTCTTATTCCAAATTTTATCTTTTCTGATACAGATTTCCAACAGTGTCACTTCTCCAATCATTCCTGCATCCTTACAACGCACACACATTCATCAAATGATTCAGAGTCTCCCTTTCACTACACACGCACCTGTCTGACTCTTCCAAACCTAATTCACACAACTTCGCAAGGAACCATGGCTCGTTAATACAAAACACAAAGTCACACTTGATTTAAACCATGTTTTTTTGCCCTCCTTCACCCTATCAACAAATTCATACGTTACTCACCGACCCTGCCATGCTTCCAACGTCGTTTTTTAACTCTCTTCTTCTCGTTCTTTTTCCAACCTGGCAACACTCCCGTCCTTCCTCATATCCCACACAACTCTTTACATTCACCCCTTCCAGACCAAAACCGCAAATATGCACGAACAACAGCCAAATCTAGCGGAAGCGTCCCCGCCAGCACCTGTAACGCATCATTCGAAACAGTCCTGCATGCCGGCACCATAGCCAACAACACCATACGCTGTATCGCCAGCAGCTTCCGACGGAAATGACTGTTCCCAACTCTAAATCCCCACAGACCACATCCATACAACACTACTGCCAAGAACATTCCCTCATAAATCACACTCATTCCAGGCGGTTAAAAGTAAACCTATCATCCAACACCACTCCTAGGTATTTACCCTTCTTACGACAAGGCAACGAAGCATTACCAAATCGCAACACCGGATTCCTCAACAGCTTTCCTTTCACCAACATCGCAAACGTTTCCCCTTCCGCAGCTTTCAATCCCACACCATCCAGCCAATCTTTCATTTTCTCCATAACGCTAGCACTTCTCGTTTCCAATTGAACCCTGCTCTCTCCTTTAATTATAACCAGCAAGTCATCCACGTATCCGATCATTTCCATCACCTCGCCCTCAACCCCAAAAACCCCGTCAAAAACAAGGTTCCAAAGCCTCGGGCCTAGGATTGAGCCCTGCGGGCATCCCTTACACATCTTTCTACGCACCCTTCCAGCCGACGATTCCATCACAACCTCCCTTTCACTCAGATAACTCTTCATCAAACCGTACACACCACTCCCTATTCCTAACTCACGCAGTCTGCTAAAAATCACACCCCTGTTCAGATTATCGAATGCCCCAGCGATATCGACAAATACCGCCAGGACATAGTTTTGACTCGCGTCATTCACAACCGTCTGCAACGTTATCAGCGCATCCATCGTTCCCATACCTTCCTTAAACCCAAACTGCCTTGCATTAGCCCGCTCTTCATAACATTCACGAATCCTTCCCCAAATCAGCTTCTCCAACACCTTGCCAACCACATCCAGTAGCGGAATCAGCCTGTACGCCTTAGGACTGTCCACAGGTTTATCCTGATTTTTGAGTAACATAACTGCTTTCGCGACCTTCCAGGCTTTCGGAAAATATTGCTCCCTCAGGCACTTATTTAAAAGACCAACCAAAACAGCCGGCCAACTTCTAACAGAGCTTTTACTACCTCCGCCCTAACTCCATCAGACCCTGGGGCCTTACCATTCTTTAACGACTGTAAAGCCTCCCTCACTTCCATTCCGCTGAAACGCCTATCAACCCCTGTCTCCCCACTCCAGCCCCGTTCCTCTCCTTCTTCCCATAACTCCTCCGCACCCCATGTCTTTCTAAAATACACCTAGCAGTGTCCTCCCACTCCCTCGTTTCCCCTTCCTCCGTTTGGAACGTCCCGTAGATCTCCGCGACCCTTTTCTTCTCCGTGACCAACTTATAGAGGATACTCCACGGGTTCCCACCCGAATTCCTTTCCACTGTAACGAAGTAACATTTTCTTTTTCCGAAAAATTTATAACATCCGAATATACTTCCCACATTACCCCGAACTCCTACAGTTTCCGCCCGATTTAGAAAAATCCAAAAATTGATACCTTATCACCACCCACTTATGCAACTTTATTCGCATTTTCCTTAATTTCTTAATTTCCTTAATTAAACTTCAAATTTTCATATTAATTCATTTAAAACCGTTAAACCTTTTTCTGAAAACGTTTCCTGACCGAATTTCAAATAAACAAAAGCAATTAGTGGAAATCGCCAAACGACGTAATTACCGAAAGCACATGGTTTCTGAAAATTGTTATTTAAAATAATTAAATAACACCGCAACGAAGTAAAATACGAAGAAGTATCAGTAATCAGTAATCAGGGTGTTACTGTAAACAAGGCCGACCGTCCCGTGTGAGTTTCAGCAGCCAGCGAGCTACCGTTCAGCTACCGTACAGCGACTATTTTTTTTATGATGCGGAATTAGAAATCGTAGAACAATCAAACCGATTTCAAACAATTACTAGTATCATGAAATAACCGTTGAATGATTCTAAAGACGATCCGATTATGATTAACATGATTATTAACCAAAATCATCCCGCATCTTAATTAATTAATTTACTTCATTCCTGATGGTCATCCATGGAAAATACTACCCGTATAGGATTGCCCCGGACACCGCCCAACCGCTGAAGCTACTTTGTGTTGAAGTGCGCGTTAATTAATACTGATTAATCGAAGTTAACGTGAAACACGCGGTCGGGAAAATGTTTATGTATGTAAGTGCCGTA